GGCTCATCGGTTTGCACAATCGTGTAGGGAGTTATAACTTGTGATAGGGAGTGAGACTCCCCTGTCAAGAGAACTCATGTAGATTATTCTCCAAAAGCTAGCCTGTTTTGATAGATTACAAGGTTAGGCTTTAATGCTCCCAGTAGACAAACTTCCTTTGTTCCCTTCAACCCTAGTCACAAGTTTGTTACCCTATGTTTCGTCTCCCTTTATCCCTCTCACTTTCACCTTCCCACCTTCCTCTGTCGGGTCTCCATGAAAAACCTACTCTCTAATGCTACTTGCCATGATCAGGCCTCAAAGTGTAACAGAAGTGAGATAAATACACTAGCTGAATTATTAAAATGGATATCAGTGCTTCTATAAAGATTGTCAGCAAAACTATCTCTTATCTTATTCAATTTCGGCTTCAATATCATATCAAGCCTGATGCATTGGTCCATAATGCATGCGTTTTTAACAAATTTACTGACCAGAAGGTCCGTGGTTCGAACCCGGCCTCTGTCTCTCGACTTTCCCTGTCTCAGCTTGGGCAACCTGGCATTGTCCCATCCCTCGTGCTTTCTTGGGACAGCATGGCCGTCAGGCACCGAAAGGGTGTCACAGCTGAACGACTTTATTTTGTATTCCAGAACTGTGGTCAGATTTGCCGTGATCAGAGATGAGTGAGGATTTGTCAGCAGCTAGCAGTTTACTTTACAGTATCCGCTTCCAATCGGCAGAAGTGGGTTGGTGAACGAGCTATATCGTTATTTGTCACAAGCTTCTTCCTATAAGTGGGGTGAACATATTCAAAAGTCCGACAACTGTTTGGAGGCTCCTGCCACCCCGTTTTTCTCCACGAAAATCATGGAACTTGGCCAAAATGCTGTCTGTCGAAATCGGGCATGAAATACATTAAGCATCCCAACATGAATGTTTATTCAGACATGTAAGCCTGTTCTGAGATAGCCAACAAGGAAGTTGACACATCGTGATAATTCGGTGAAGTCGGTGTTGTAATTAGCCCTCCGAAAAGATGTTTCGGAAAGTACGACAAATCCAATTTACGATAAACTTTCAATCGAAATGATCCCATATATTAATCAGTAAGCGTTCCATTCTCATGGCTTGTCTAAATCCCTAGTATGGTATCTGTACGAATCACAGTTGGAAATCAACCATTGTTAAAATGCGCCAAAAAAAGCACTTCCAATGCGCCCGGGTATGCGAATATATCAAATCCCAAGCCGCGGCATATAACCAAGAAGTTACTAGTTATGCCGAATCTACCGTAAAATTTAAATGACTGACTTGTCTTGACTCTTTACCGCATTAATAGGTGGCCGTGAGATTCAACAAAACGCTTATTGGAGTAATTTTTTGGATCTCCAGGGTAAAAAAGAAGAATGGCCCACTAGTGATGGTTTTCTCTGCTTGAAATCGACTGATGCTTATACGTGGCGTGGACGGACGCCTTACTTCAGTGACCATCACTGTTTCATGACCTCCGGTGTATCTGCTGCATTCGTCAAAAATCCCCAGTTTGTTTTCCAAAATCACTAAGTAAATCAACATGGAACATTTCAAAACTTTTGCCGTTCGAAGGGCAAGACTGATTGTGGGCTGTCAAAGAGTTTTCACCAAGTCTACGAGTAGTGTGTTTCTTCTAAGCTAGATTCTGGTGTTAAAGTAGAGCATTTTTTTAATAGTTCCCTTTGATGTGGGATATCCACACGGGAGTGAAGCACTGCGAGTTTTATTTCGGACGACCACTATCTAGAATACACAACCCTACAGCTGTTAACCAAAATGCTGTTCGTGAGCGTAGTTTTGTGCAGTATGGGCATCTGTGTATGTAACACGAGGCGTAATTCTGACGAGGTTATTCGCTCAACTCGTCAGATAGTCTTCATCACTGGGCTACTACCTACCGCTTTGTGTCAGCATTAAACCGGGCACTAAATTAAGTGAATTCAGTGATCATTTCATTTTGGGGAAAAGCACCAAACAACCATACCTTTTCACATTCAGGACAACGGTAATCCGTGTGTATGATGCAAGGACATCGATGGCCAGCAAGGTGAAACGGATCGCGGAATTCACGATGACACAGTTTGCATATATATGGTCCTAGTAAATTTGGAATCTGTGCCAGGCGAGCCTTTATCCGAGCAGTTGGCACAATACGATTTGGAAAAACTGTCGTATCTTGTTTGCTGCCAACAGCCTTTCTCTTCAAACTGCCAGATGAATACCTCTCCAGAGAGTATTTGGTGCAGTGCAAACGAGTGGTGAAATGTCGCTGGGATTCATTCAGCACATCATCACGGGAAAGTGAGTCTTGGCTGTTTCGATTAGAATTACTCGAGTTATATTTCTGTAGGAAACAAAGGGGGTGTTTTAATACCCCGTTTGCTGACGTATTTATCCAATTATGCGTAAACCTCTTTACACTTGGAACGGGATATCTGTCCGCCGTTGGAGCTTCGGTGAAAAACAATGAAGACTCTCTGGGCGGACTGTCTGCTATCACGTCAGCTACTGTGAAATTCGGTCGGTTGTTTTTCCAGTCCTTTCTCCCGTTCTGTCGTCCTGGTTTCAGTGGATTTTTGGCGCAAAGAGTTAATACGTTCGATGGATAGTTGACAAAAGATTTGTAGGCTTCATCTGAAAATAAAACTGATCCGTGTGGTTCATCCGGAATAGCACCTGACCCCATCGCATGTAGACATCTTGTTGCGCCACTGGTCCACAAAAGGTCTTGAAATTCTGGAAAAAGTGACCTGTTGTTTGAATGTGCTTGCCGAGAGTTTGTCTGATATTCTTGGACACCTCTGAATGGTGGGCCAGTCCCAACAGAATGCAGTTCTCTCAAAACGGGTGTAGGGTGAAGCATATTGTACCAATAAACCGGAGGTGCACTGTCAAAATTGAACGCTTTCGAAAGCAGCATATCTCAAAATGAGTGCGCTTTACTGGTAGCGGGTGTATTTATCACACCGATGGACTTAGGAAGCCGGTGCTTAACGCGGACACATTAGATCCCTGTTCTTATGCAACAAACGCAGGGAGGATCCGCAATTCTTTTGATTACTAGATGGGATGAGACAATGAGACAAACATTGTAAAGCGTGCGTACACATACAGACAGATGTATGCGCGACGGAAGGTTGGACAGGGCATTCCCTTCAGCACTAATGGACGATAAGGATTTTACTCAACTTCCCACGCATCTTATCAGCGAAGGCTAGACTTGTTCCGTTGAGAGGGTTAGGGAATTCATCTTCCTACACCCCTCCGACAGAGACAGCAGACATGTGAGCAAGCAACACAGTCTTTTTGTCATCCATAGGCAGCCGACAAAGAAAACAACCGGTCGGTTGGTCAGTTCACTGAATTGCTGAATTCTAATTGGTCTGAGTTGTTCGAAAATGCAGCTAACCTAAGTCATGAGTAGTATGTGTACGCCTCGCATTCAAACTGTATGTAGCAGAGTTGGGTTTCCTATTTATGCCCATCAACCAAAAATAACTCGCCCGCCAGTTTCATCATTCCACATTGAATGTGATTACTTGCAAAACAAATGCCTTCTATTGCTCCTGTACGAACATCACTTTCCTAGTAAATGAGAAGATCAACCAAATAGACTCGGTGGTACACAGTAGGCAAATAAAAGTGAGGTTGTTGGCGTTGAAAATCGTCACAAAGCGGTATGTGTTTTCGAGCAGTCCCGATTTAATAACCGGGGCCAGCAAGGATACACATCGATGGAGTTAGTGTATTTAAAATCTTATTCCAGCTCAATCTTGGCCTGATAGTGAAGTAAATTATGTTCTTTAGGTTGGTAACGTCGCATTCATTCCCTTTTGTAAGTGAAAGCAGAGTCTATATACTAGACTCTTGCAAGGTTGTTGGTGAACGAACTTGCCGATGTTGAAACAGAAAGGGAGCTTTGTGATGACAGACTGGACGGCCCCATAACTTTTGGCCAGCTCCTTTTCTGGCCATTTGTTTCTAATTATTTTTCCTTGTCAACCTCTGACTCTCAAGCGTTGTGTTGGAGAGTTTGCAGGAAGGTTGATATTTTAATTGAGACTCTCCCTTGCAAGTGTAAAAATGCCTGGAAATAATGTTTTCCTGTTGTATGCCAGTTAGAATTCATAGACAGCGGACACCCCAGAATCACCAAGGCGATTCAAATCGCTCGTTTACAAGAGACTGCTACTGTGACGTAGGTTATGTCCAATGTATGGTCAACTACTACACTGCCGATCAGCCTTTTCATGGTCATAGTGATGTAATGTCAAACTACTTATTTCAAGCATCCGTTCTTTTCACTCCTTCAGCCCAAATTAACCTTTGAGTTGGACATTATGACGACATTTCTACCATGGAAGGACGCTCTGGACTGAAACACAATTGAAACAGCGTCCGCAGAAGTATACAAGGACCAAGTAATTCGCAGGAGACATCCACCTGTTGACAAGTGACAGCCTCTCGAAGCCAACAAACAAGAGAAAACGATGTGGTTTTCTACTGCATGCCGCCATAAATCTGTAAAGGAAAACGTCTGTCTTACTCAGGCATTTTGCAAATCCTTGTGGATGTGGTCATAGTGGGAATGGTGGAGTCTTTGTGTGTGAAGCAGCATCGAACTCAGTTATCACTCATATTGTGTTGTTCTTCACTGGGTTGACATCCTGAAAACACATCCGTCAGGTAAAATTTCGATTTTTGTCATGGCTTTTTTCGTTTTTCTTTGCTACACGGATTAACATCCGTAGAATGGGGACCTCCCGTAAATGATATCTACCGGAAATGCTAGGCTGTCTCCAAGTGAGGAACGCCCCTTCTTCAGGAGTTTGGAATACACTTCGCTTGTTTGGCATAAATCACTGCGCGGATATATAAAATTCACTCATTCAGCTTTCATGTCACCAGAAAGATATTTTTTAAAAAGATTGGGATTTCCCAAGTTGTTCTTGAGGAACACTATCAGGATATACCTAAACTCCGTTCTTGAAGTGACTCCATTGGGTCTGTTTAGTGGGAAAATCACTTTGATTGCGATGTAAATTTTTCAGACTCTCTGGCCACCAAATGTGTCCCGAAATGCACAAATTGCTACGAGTCCCCCACACATACCTCGGAAATCGAAGGGAATGTCCGTTAATCTAGTTTTGTATTGTTAGCGTCCTGTGGTGGTCAAATAGGCCGCGAATGGAAGAGCGCTATATCCACTTGGGGTATTGTTAGGCAAGTAGCTATATTACAGTACTCCCGGTCCGACACGAAATTGAGGCCAAAGAGAAGGCCGTTGCTTTATAGTGATCAACCTAGCTGAAATTGGTATAATGTCTTTGCGATGGATATATGTTTGAATGTAAGCTTTTGAAAATCTGTAGAAACGTTTGAAATCCTCAAATGACACAAAGCACTTCAAAGATCAGAAATTAAGAATGGCAACAGAATTATTTCGGGATACAACTAGCCCCGCCTTATACAGGTTCTTCGAATTATGATGAGCATTTCTGTCTTTAGTTAATATGGATTTTTAACTACAACACCGCCCACAGTCAGACAAAGATTCCTATCGGCTCGCCATGCAGTAAGATGCGAACAGGCAAAACCCACATATAACTTGCTGTTTGGTTCATCAAATGACCAACATAAATGAGCGAATAGGAAACACATCGTACAACTAGACAACGAAGCCGTCAAGAAATCGAACCGCTTGGTGTGAACCCTCTAGATCTAAGTTCACCTATTTTGGAAGTATTCAACAACAACCAATCACGTGTTAGTGGCGTCATTACCAAGGCAAGTTTTTAAACACATAAGTAAATTTTATCCTTGAGTTTTAAACACAGACAGGGGCTTGTATGGGTTGTTTGTGAGCATAAAGTGCTGGTGGATTCTTGATTGTTCTCGCACTCCCCCAAAGGCTTTTCGTGGTACGTCGGCGTAATTCGAGCATATTGCCGTAAGGACAGACAACGGGGTATATCACAGCACGAAAACCAATAGCGTAATTGTTACTATGTTCTCAGTCTGTGATGATGTAGGCCCTGCAGAAAACATCACTGTCAAACTTTCATACTCCAATTGCTGAACAGGTTACTGCATTGCCGCAATAAATAAACGTTATTAAGGATCACGAAAAAGTAGGGTTGCGTAAACTAGCCTGATGCAGTAGAGCGACATTGTATTTCCTCTTGGAAAGTTTCCTGGTGTCGGTAATGAGTCAACTACCTTCCATTCCAATCCAGACAGCTCTAGATGGGTAGGCACCCAACGTGATGCTGTGGTGTCGTAAGTTAGGGATATATTTTGTGTCGACAGGTAGGGAGCTTGAGTGGAATTCTTGGGCCTTATAGTGGAGTTGCAAATCGTTTTGATACGGTAACAAAGCTGGTACCAAATATCTCCGTCTGGCCCACTCGATGCGGAAATAGGACCATTGGCTCAGTGGATGCTGGTTATTTCTTTTACCAGTCGAGCGAATAACAATCAAACAGAAGTCATAAGACACGAATTAGATGGAACATCAATATTGATCCACACTATCAACCAGAAAACTCTGAGTGAAGAATGTTCAAGCGACGAATCGATTACGCCATCCACACTTGACGTAACAGATCATAAAACATCCACCAATGACAAGTGAAATCTACGCTGTGCTGATTCAGGACTTTGAAAAACAACTGATGCTTTATATTTTTAATATTTTAAAAACGGATGTAGATTTCGTATTCACACATCCATCAGTGTATTTCTTCCTTAGATTTATTCAAAGACATGTGTATTCAGCGGGGGTTAGATTTTTCTAAACTGGCATAATGCTTCCGGTAGTATCCTCCACAAATCCGGGAAATCATCACATTAGACACGCCCATACTCGACGGCTACACTACGTTGTAATTCTACTCTCGAACGTGCACGAAGAAGTTATGGGCACGCTACCGATACCATCAAAAAGACTCGGAACCAACGCAAGCTGTCGTACGGAGCGCTTGGTGTGAACCCTCTAGATCTAAGTTCACCTATTTTGGAAGTATTCAACAACAACCAATCACGTGTTAGTGGCGTCATTACCAAGGCAAGTTTTTAAACACATAAGTAAATTTTATCCTTGAGTTTTAAACACAGACAGGGGCTTGTATGGGTTGTTTGTGAGCATAAAGTGCTGGTGGATTCTTGATTGTTCTCGCACTCCCCCAAAGGCTTTTCGTGGTACGTCGGCGTAATTCGAGCATATTGCCGTAAGGACAGACAACGGGGTATATCACAGCACGAAAGCCAATAGCGTAATTGTTACTATGTTCTCAGTCTGTGATGATGTAGGCCCTGCAGAAAACATCACTGTCAAACTTTCATACTCCAATTGCTGAACAGGTTACTGCATTGCCGCAATAAATAAACGTTATTAAGGATCACGAAAAAGTAGGGTTGCGTAAACTAGCCTGATGCAGTAGAGCGACATTGTATTTCCTCTTGGAAAGTTTCCTGGTGTCGGTAATGAGTCAACTACCTTCCATTCCAATCCAGACAGCTCTAGATGGGTAGGCACCCAACGTGATGCTGTGGTGTCGTAAGTTAGGGATATATTTTGTGTCGACAGGTAGGGAGCTTGAGTGGAATTCTTGGGCCTTATAGTGGAGTTGCAAATCGTTTTGATACGGTAACAAAGCTGGTACCAAATATCTCCGTCTGGCCCACTCGATGCGGAAATAGGACCATTGGCTCAGTGGATGCTGGTTATTTCTTTTACCAGTCGAGCGAATAACAATCAAACAGAAGTCATAAGACACGAATTAGATGGAACATCAATATTGATCCACACTATCAACCAGAAAACTCTGAGTGAAGAATGTTCAAGCGACGAATCGATTACGCCATCCACACTTGACGTAACAGATCATAAAACATCCACCAATGACAAGTGAAATCTACGCTGTGCTGATTCAGGACTTTGAAAAACAACTGATGCTTTATATTTTTAATATTTTAAAAACGGATGTAGATTTCGTATTCACACATCCATCAGTGTATTTCTTCCTTAGATTTATTCAAAGACATGTGTATTCAGCGGGGGTTAGATTTTTCTAAACTGGCATAATGCTTCCGGTAGTATCCTCCACAAATCCGGGAAATCATCACATTAGACACGCCCATACTCGACGGCTACACTACGTTGTAATTCTACTCTCGAACGTGCACGAAGAAGTTATGGGCACGCTACCGATACCATCAAAAAGACTCGGAACCAACGCAAGCTGGTCGTACGGAGGAGGATCTATCAACGAAATAAATATTCAGAAAACCCGTCCAATAAAACTAAGATGAAATTATATACAGAAATGAACGGAAATTAAATATAAATTTTAATCAAAAAAATATCAGCTCCCAAACACATAAAAAAAGATAAGAAAATAGAGGGAAAAGAAAAATACAAATCTACGAAAGCGAACGAAATATATTTCGAAAAAAAGAGACCAATCACAAAATCAAAGCACACCATACAATACCTGGAAAGAAAAAAACAGCAAAAATGATAACGAAGCGATGAAGAATTCAGGAAAACTAAGAAAACATAACAGAATAAAATGAAAACAACGAGAAAGGAGGAGGAAAACAAAGAAAAATCAAGCATATAAAAACGAAGAAAAAGAAAAAAGAAAAGCAGATGGAAACAAAAAAGACAATAATACAAAAGTAAACAGGCAAACACAGAGGAAAAAAACAGTGCAAACCAGAAAGAGAGAAAGTGGACGGTTATCAAACAGATAAAAAAACCAGGTGTGCAAACGAGGAATCACAAAAAACAGGTAAAATACCCATGCAAGCGAGAAAATGCCCGGCCACAATTCCCGCAACCGAGGA